CTAGGTTCGGGAGCTTAAGTACAAAAGGGAAAGGTCATTTACATGAAAGCACCCATTTTGTCCAATCCGAAGATGGGCCTCTATTCACTCTCTAATTTATGATTTTAGTGGTTAATTATTTTATATAAACCACTTTAAGCCTAGAACCTTGACTAACCCTAAAACTATGTGATTTGAATAAAATGCATATCGTTTATTTTGGATTTAAAGAATAAAGCCACACCTTTTCTAAAAATGACGATTTCCAAGTAAAGAAAATCTTTAATGATCTTGGCCTTAAACTTAATCCAAAATAAATAATATTCATAAAAATCATTCAAAACAACCAATTTTGCAAGAAAAATCATTTAACTTGGATTATTCAAAAAGACAATGTAACAAGGACACACATGTGCTATGGAGATTTAGAAGACTTACTCGGATTTCCACTCACACTTCTTTCATGCAAAACATAAAATTAAACATAGCCTAAACATGCAACTAAACATATAAACATGAACCTAGGCCTAGTTTGAGGCTACTAGAATGATGAATATGCACAAAAGAACACTTAGCAAATAAAAAGATAAAATATGCAGAATATTTACTTGATTCAAACTGAGCTTAATGCATGAACATTATATGATTAAACAAACTTAAACATATTGTTCTAATAAAAATAAAGAAATCATGCTAGAATAGGCAAGAAAGTAAATAAAATTAAGGAACTACATGATGATCAAGCCATCCTAACTACTTTAGATGAGTACATATTGAAAAGAGATGAGAAATAAACACTGAAATAAAGAAAAAGCATGGGTTTACCTGTTGGTTTTCAAGAATCGAAACACACATGAAGAAAACAAGGACTTATTTGCTTGTACGCATTTCTTAAGCTTAGGTTGCTAATTATAGTTCAAGTCCCCAAGCCTTAGGTTGTTTTTTATTGCCTTAGGGTTGCTGCTTAGCGTGAGAATTTTGGAATAGGGGGTGAGGGGAGAGGTCTCTCTCTCTCAAGCTCTCAAATGCTCTTAAAATGCTTCAATTTTGTAACCCCTTAAAGAGGAGGGGAGGGGTTCTTTTATAGGCACTCCTAGCTTGGGAAGGAAGCCAGCAGAGGCTACTAGGGTTGAGCATCGCTTTCTCTCTAGCACCTCTTCTCAATTCCGCATTGTCATCTTTGCAAAGTTTTCATTCCTATTTGTTAGGGGAAGGTGCGGCTGCACAAAAAAAATGTAGTCGTACAATAGAAGTGTGGCCGTACAATCTAGGTGCGCCCATACCATGCACGTGCGGACGCATGTGCAGCCAAGGGTCCATATGTCAACTTTGCAGGTTAGGTGCGGGTTTGCGTGACTTTTGCTAACTTGTGTATGTTGTGAACTTTAATATTTTGTCTAAGTATGAGGAGCATGTCTTGTTTTGTGATATTATGTTTTGTCTAAGTATAAGATCCATGCTTTGTTCCTTGCTTTGTGTGTTGAACCTAGGCCATCTATCTTTGCTACCTCACATCTTGGTCACACCTTTGAACCTCTTACGCCTAGGCTATTGAGCATCAACACCTAGGATTGTCTTGGAACCATCTTGGTTGACCTCTACCTTCATCCTTGCACCTTGGCCGAGGTGTGCATCACCTAGGCCTCCGAAATCTTTGATCCTTGAACCTAGCAATCTTGTTCCTTGACTTGTGCAACCCAAGCCGAGGTGTGTCACACCTAAGCCAAGTGTTACCCCTCCTAGCCGAGATCAGTAAGGCCTCACTTATCCTTCACTTTTCTGAAGCCTATGTTTTGATCCAAGATCCTTGCCTTGTCAGAGTGCCCATGTCACCTTACTTGTTATATACACTTTGACCTACTCTTGTCTTTTCATTCTGACACCTTTTTGAGGAGATTGATCAGATGATGCCACATGTCCCAGTAGTGGGTTTAAGTCAGATTAGTAGTTGAGAACCCATATCTTTGCCATATCTTTGTCTTGAAGAGAGAGAAGCTCTAGGAATAAGAAGAAGTTCTCATAGTGAGAAAGCTAGACTTTCCAAGCTTGATTTGCAAACCTTGAACCATTTGGATTTGTGTTTTGAGGTTAGATTCTTGATCTACTTTCGTTGTTCTTTATATTAATTTGATCACATTGCATGAGCTAGCATGATTCATGAACCATGCATCGATTGAAAGTTTTCTTTTAGAGAGAGAAAGTGATGTTCTTGTGTTCTTAAATAAAACCTTTGTTTTGATCCAAAAGTTTACATCAAGTTCCATGTTTTTGTGTTTGTTTTCTTGAAATCTTCAAATATGGGTACCCAGGTCTATGTTTTTGAACTCAGATCATGAAATCTTAGATTTTGAATGAAAAGTTATAATTTTTAGCATTCATGTTCTTCAAGTTCTTTAAGAGGAAACCCAGATTTCCAGACTTCACTTCCCTAAGTGTGGTCACTGAGACCCACTTTTGTCCAGCTTCCACACCTAGGCCAAGCATTGCATCTCACTTTGGCCTACCTTGCATGATCACTTACACCTTAGTCTACCTCGCATGCACACCTAGGCCGACCACTTACCTAGGCCGACCATAGTACACCTTTGTCGACTTCTTGTAACATCCCGGGCAGGCAGCCCACACCTCAGCTAAGGAGATCACAACTCGGCCAAAAGGTGTGAAATCTCGGCCAAGACCTCTTAAGTTCACCTAGCTAAGCCATTTCGGCCTAGCTCATCTCTATGCATCCATTCTGAGATCTGGTTTATACCTAGCATGCTTTTCCAAGAAGAAAAACATTAATTTAACTTTCAGCCCATGTTTTGCTTGGTCTTGACTTGGTTTTTAGAAAAAAAAGTGTCAGGATCTATTTCACTCACTTGAAGCTTGTTTTGAGAGTGCATTTCATAACTATCTTTGAGCATATCTTCTTACCTTCGTGAAGTGCATTCAATGGAATTATTATGTACTTGTAAGTCTTGGATCTTTGCCTTAATCCCCTCAACTGAAGAGCTATTATGAGTGGTATTTTTAATGAAGCTATGTTATAATGTTTTGATAAAAGCTTTGCTTTGTTTTGAAAAAGTATTTGATCAAGCATGAATGATTATTCCTTAGTTTTTGTATCAAGTATTATGTTTGTTTTGATGACATTCTTAAAAGGTCCTTATATGTTAGAGGACTTTAATGCAACTAGTACCTTTATTTGAGATATCTCATTTATCGATGGGTGGGCTTGTCTAATCGATTCTAGGTCGGTTATTCCTTTGTTTTTTCAATAAATGTCATTCTTTAGATTATGTAGATGTTAGTAAACATCACTTGAAGTTTTGAAAGCCTTTGATTGATGAACTCAATTCATCATTTGATTTTGTTACAAGCTATGATATGTATTGTTTTGATAAAATCTCAGACATCATTCATTCAAACCTTTATTACTTATATCATTCACTGAGTTTTCAGCTCACCGTTCTTCCTTATATATATGTAGGTGATGAACGAGGAGGCGATGTCACCTAAGCATTATTTGGAAGATTGTTTTGGTTTATGATTTGTAGCATCTTGAAGACTATGCTTCTTAGCTTTGTAGATAACTTGTCTTGTATGTTTGGGCTTGAGAAGCCTTTTGATTAAGATGTAATATTTAGGGTTGGTTTGGGATGTTCTAAAAAAGTGCACTTTTTGACTTATTGGCTTATATGGGTTGGGTTTAGGTTGGGTTTGATGTGATATGTTAGAGAGGTGATGTGATTTAAATAAGATGATGTGACTTAAATAGGATAGTGACTTTTTGACTTTTTGTATTATTTAGATCATGCCAAACTTGGCCTAAGTTTATTTTATTTTGCATTCAAGTTGTAAAACCATGTCAATATGTATGCCATTTCATTTCATCTATGCACAGCTCTTATGGACTAATTAGATTTAAATTTATTGCTTCTGCACATGTATGCCCCATATGTATACTCTGGTTGTGTGAATCTTTGTATGTTGGCCTTTAGTAATCTCAGATTACTGGCCATCATGGCATCATTCTAAATGGGGTCGTGACAGATTGGTATCAAAGTACAAGTTCCTTATTGTACATTTATTCACACACTCTTGGTCCTAAAGAGCATTGGATTTCCCTTAGAATGATGTTAGGATTGTATCATATTGCTTGCTATTTGACAAAGTGTACATTATTTCGGCATGTTTATTTGTTACTTGCCTACTTGCCTATTTGTTCATCTTATTTTAAAGTCATATTTCCCATACTCTTAGCATCATGAGAAGAGGAAGACCTCCAATTAGACGAGATCATTCCGAGGATAGGTTGGACATATTAGAGAGGATGGTAAAAGGTTTGACTCGTGAGTTGAGGCAAGCAAGGCAACAAAACACTAGTACCACCTCTATTTAGGCCGGGCAGAGAAATGGCCGAAATGCAGTTTCACATCCACCTTCTCCAGTACCACAAGTGCCTCCATAACTAGCTTTACATAAGGTGTCATTGGCAGCATTCACATTGGACGACGATGCTTGTAGGTGGTGGATGATGATCCGAGAAGGTAATCCGGGTTTGATTTGGGCTAGATTTTTGGAATTATTTTATGACAAGCACTTTTCCCTTAGTGTTTGAGATTGCAAGACCACAAAATTCAAGACTTTGACACAGGGTAACAGAACAGTAGCTAAATATTATCATCTTTTCACTGAGTTGGCTAGGTATGCACCTCACATTGTCAATATAGAATACAAAAAAGCTAGAAAGTTTGAGAGTCAACTTCGTGGACCAATATAAGATTGGGTTAATATGCTCAACATGCAGGCTTACATTGGGGTATTGGACAAAGTCATCCTGGCAGAAGCTAACTTAAACATATATTAGAGTTCAAGAGAGAATCAAAGAAAGAGACAAAAAATTGTATGCTAAGCTTAGCAAGTGTGAGTTTTGGCTTTCAAGCCTTTCATTTCTGGGTCATATGATTAATGAAGAGGGCATTTTTTTTTATCCTAGCAAACTCAAAGCCGTTATGAGTTGGCCGAGACCAACTAATATGTCTGTGGTCCGTAGTTTTCTGGGTTTGGTAGGTTATTACAAAAAGTTTGTGAAGGACTTCTCAAAGATTGCAGTGCCATTAACACAGTTGACTCAGAAGGGAGTGTCATATGAATGGACTGAGGATGGAGAATCAGCTTTTCTGAAGCTAAAGACGAGGTTAGTCTCAGTACCAATTCTTATACTACCATCAAGTAATGAGGAATTTCAGATTTATAGTGACACTTCATATAAGGGTTTGGGTTGTGTATTGATGCAAGGAGGTAAGGTCATAGCATATGCATCTTGTCAGTTGAAACCTCGTGAAAAGAATTATCCTACCCATGATTTAGAATTAGCAGTCGTGGTATTTGCTTTGAAAATTTGGCATCATTACTTGTATAGAGCTTCTTGTCAAGTTTTCACAGATCACAAGAGTTTGAAGTATTTTTTCACTCAGAAAGAATTGAATATGAGACAGAGAAGATGGCTTGAATTATTGAAAGACTATGAAATACAAATTCAGTATCACCCAAGTAAAGCTAACTCAATAGCCGATGCGTTGAGTAGAAAATCTGTTGCAAGTTTGGCATGTTTACTGACCGCGTAGAAGACCATTCTTCGGGATTTGCAAGACCTAGATATTGATATTGTACGTCGCCGAGATGAGAGAATTTTCGCAATGATTTCAGTAGAGCCAATTGTTATTGAGGAAGTAAAGACAAGACAAATGGAGGATGAATTTTTCAAGAAGGTAGTTGATGAAATTATCACGAAGTCGAGACCATGATATGCCATTGATAATTAAGTACTAAAGTTTCAGGGAAGGTTGTACATGGCCAACATCCCAGAGTTAAAAAGGAGAATTTTGCAAGAAGCTCATAGTTCTCGATTTGCCGTTCATCCAGCAAATACCAAGATGTACCAAGATATGAAGCAAACCTTTTTGGCAGCCAAATATGAAAAGAAAAATAGCTGAGTTTGTATCACAATGTTTGTATTGTCAACAGATGAAAGCAGAACATCAGAGGCCAGCCAAACTTCTTCAACCTTTGCCAATTCCTGAGTGGAAATGGAAACACATCTCCCTGGATTTTGTTGTGGGTTTGCCGAGGACACAAAAAGGTATGGATTCGATTTGGGTTATAGTTGATAGATTAACTAAGTCAACACATTTTTTGCCTGCTAAGACTACATTTAATGCCGACTGACTTGCTTCGTTGTATATGAATGAGATTGTTAGACTTCATAGGGTGTCGATGCCTATTGTGTCAGACTGAGATCTGGAATTTGTTTTTAGATTTTGGTAGAGTTTATCAAGAGCTTTGGGAACCAAGTTGAGATTTAGCATATCTTTTCATCCTCAAACCAATGGGCAAATAAGGAGAATGATTCAGAAACTTGAAGATATGCTTAAGTTATGTGTATTGGATTTCAAGGGAAGTTGGGAATTACATTTGCCATTAGTAAAATTTGCTTACACCAATAGTTTCCAAGCTACCATTAGCATGGCGCCGTATGAAGCTTTGTATGGGAGAAAGTGTAGATCACCAATTTATTGGACCAAGGTAGAATATAAAACATTGATAGGTCTCTAGATAGTTCAAGTGACAATCGAGAAGATTAAGCTCATTCAACAAAGGATCAAAACCGCTCAGAGTCGACAAAAGAGTTATGCCAACAAAAGAAGAAGATAGATAGAGTTTGAAGTTAGAGATCACGTATTCTTGAAAGTTTCGTCAATGAAAGGAGTTTCAAGGTTTGGGAAGAAAGTTAAGTTAGTGCTTTGTTACATTGGCCCATTTGAAATTCTTGAGAGAGTTAACCCCGTTGCCTACCGACTTGCTTTGCCACCGCAATTAAGTCAAGTCCACAATGTGTTTCATGTTTCGATATTGAGGAAGTATATTCGGGATCTGGTGCATGTGATTGATCATTTCGAGATTGTGGTCAATGAAGATTTAGGTTACGAGGAGAAGCCGATACGGATTATTGATAGGCAAGTGAAATAGTTAAGGAATAAGTCGATACCGATGCTGAAAATTGAATAAAAAGAGCATTACGGCAAAGATGCTACATGGGAAATGGAAGAGAAGATGAAAATCCAATATCCAGAGTTGTTTTCGGGGCAAGGTAACTTAAGTTTGGGGACCAAACTTCTTTAAGGGGGTAGACTATAACAACCCTCATTTTGCCTTAGTCATATTCATGAGAATTTAAATGATTTTGGTTTGTTAAGCTTACATCTTGGGAACTTTAATATTTTGTCTAAGTATAGAAGCATGTCCTGTTTTGTGTTGTTGTGTTTTGTCTAAGTATAAGATCCATGCTTTATTCCTTGCTTTGTGTGTTGAACCTAGGCTATCTATCTTTGCTACCCCACACCTAGGACCATCTGGGAACCATCTTGGTTGACCTCCACCTTCACCCTCGCACCTTGGCAGAGGTGTGCATTATCTAGATCGAGATGAGCATCACCTAGGTCGAGATATGCATCACCTAGGCATCTAAGATCTTTGATCCTTGAACCTTGTAGCCTTGTTATGCACCATAGCCAACACCTAGCAATCTTGTTCCATGACTTGTACAACCCAGGTCGAGGTGTGTCACACCTAGGCTAAGAGTTACTTTTCATAGTCGAGATCAGGAAGACCTCACTTATCCTTCACTTGTCCGAAGCTGACGTTTTGATCTAGGATCCTTTCCTTGTCAGAGTGCCCATGCCACCTTACTTGTTATATACACTTTGACCTACTCTTGTCTTTTTATTCTGGCACCTTTTTGAGGAGATTGATCAGATAGTGTCACGTGTCCCAATAGTGGGTATAAGTCAGTTAACAGTTGAGAAACCCATATCATTTGCCATGTCTTTGTCTTCAAGAGAGAGAAGTTTTAGGAAGAAAAAGAAGTTCTTAGAGTGAGAGAGCTAGACTTTCCAAGCTTGATTTGCAAACCTTGAACCACTTGATTTGTGTTTTGAGGTTGGATTCTTGATCAACTCTTGTTGCTCTTTATGTTAATCTAATCACATTGAACGATCAAGCATAATTCATAAGACATGCATTGATTTAAAGTTTTGTTTTAAAAAGAAAGGTGATGTTCTTGTGTTCTTGAAAGAAAACTATGTTTTGATCCAAAAGTTTGTATCAGGTTCCATGTTTTGTGTTTGTTTGCTTGAAATCTTCAAGTATGGGTACCTAGGTCCACGTTTTTGAACTCATATCATGAAATCTTTGATTTTGAATAAGAAGTTATGATTTTTAGCATTCATGTTCTTCAAGAGGAAACCCAAATTTCCAGACTTGACTTCTCTAAGTGTGGTCACCGAGATCCACTCTTGTCTAGCTTCCACACCTAGACCAAGTATTGCATCTCACCTTCGCCTACCTTGCATGATCACTTGCACCTTAGTCTACCTTGCATGCACAACTAGCCTGATCACAGTACACCTTTGCTGACACCTTGTAACATCCCTAGCGGTTAGCCCATATCTCAACCAAGAAGACCATAACTCGGCCAAAAGGTGTGGAACCTCGGCCAAGACCTCTTGAGTTCACCCAACTAGGCTATTTTGGCCTAGCTCATCTCTGTGCATCCATTCCGAGACTTGGTTTGTACCCAACATACTTTTCCAAGCAGAAAAACAATGATTTAACTCCCACCACCACCATCGATCCGCCGCAACCAACCTTCGACTCTGGCCTCCGCTTCCGCGAGAAGCTCCTCTACCTCCAAACCCTCAAAGTCAATCCCTCCAAAGCCCTCCACAAGAACCCTAATTGGTTTGTACCCAACATACTTTTCCAAGCAGAAAAACAATGATTTAACTCCCACCACCACCACCGATCCGCCGCAACCAACCTTCGACTCTGGCCTCCGCTTCCGCGAGAAGCTCCTCTACCTCCAAACCCTCAAAGTCAATCCCTCCAAAGCCCTCCACAAGAACCCTAATTTCCAATCAGCCCCACTCGACTCCCTCAAATCAATCGAGAAATGCCTCTCATCCATGGGCATTGACCGCTCTGCCTTGGGCCGCATCTTCGACATGTACCCCCAGCTCCTCACCTGCGATCCCTACTCCGATCTCTATCCTGTTTTCGACTTCCTATTGAACCACGTCAATATCCCTTTCCCCGATATCCGAATATCGATCATTCGCTGCCCGAGACTCTTAATTTGCAGTGTAGATCACCAATTGAGACCCGCATTACGTTTCCTAGAAAATTTGGGGTTTGTGGGGAAACACGCATTAACTTGCCAGACCACACTGTTGTTGGTTTCGAACGTCAAAAACATGTTTATGCCCAAGCTGAATTACTTGCAAGATTTGGGTTTTTCGTATGAGGAGGTGTTGAGGTCGCCGGGGTTGTTGACGTTTAGTATTTCCAATAATTTTGAGCCGAAAGTGGAGTATTTCTTGAAGGAGATGAATGGGAATTTGGCAGAGCTAAAGATGTTTCTGCAGTATTTTTCGTTTAGTTTGGAGGGGAAGATAAAGCCTCGACACCAGCTCTTGATGGAGATTGGGTTGTCTCTCTCGCTGCCGCAGATGTTGAAGGTCAGCGATGGGGAGTTCAATGCGCGGTTGATTGAGATGCGATTGCGATTAGTTGATCAGAGACAGTCACAGTAAGTTTCCTTGCAAGTTGCAACTTATATTATTTATACTTTGCTTCCATAGTGAAAGTTCACAACTCATTGTGTTTGATGGTCAAATGTACATTTTTTGTGCAATATAACGTCTTTATTGAGAGACAATTGTTTCATTCCCTCAATTGTTCTCTAGACATGAAGTGGAAGTTAGAAGCTATAGTAAGAAACCTAGTTTAAAAAAAAAAAAAACACCCATTTAATACACATTAATGTGTGATTGAGAGGGAAAATATTGAGTACACACTTAACCTTTAGCATAATACACAAAGTGGTAGTCCTAAGACTTGAACCCATAATCTCAAGGTTATTAGGCCAAGTCTTAACGATTGAACCAATAGTCAACCCTTAGTAAGAAACCTAGTTAACAAAATTAAATTGGTGGTAATTTACATTTTACACTTGTTTGTTTGTTGCTATATTTTAGCTTACCCAAGGTTAGAACTTGATAAATATCCAAATATGAGTTGTTGTTCTTGGCAAGCTTGAAATGAAATTAGTAAATTCTTTACCATTCAAGTAAAATTTAAATTCGTAGTGCCGGTGGAAACCAGAATACTAATGACCAAGCATTACTGCTAAATTTGGGGAAGATAATGTGAGATAGTGGGGCAGGAAAGAAGCCTTTGTTTATAATTTATTCAGTATTATGGTAAACCCTTTGTTTTGAGACTTTTCGAAGGTTTGAACATGATTCTGCGATTTATTCAATGCTAATATTCATTTTGTTAGAGGAAACTGCCATAGTGGATTGTCCTCAAGTTATGGACTTAAAATCATTTGCTTATTTGATGCATGAAATCTGGGCTTCAATTATTAGGGAGTTGAATAATTGGGAGGGCATGTATTGGCAGTGATTGATGGGACATGTCATTTATGTAATCAAACATTTAGAAGCTTAAAGCCTAATTCTATGGTTCTTTGTTTTTGATGATAGGATAGCTAGAGTTTTCATGCATATTTCCTCTCACCAAAGAATAATTAGTCTAAAATTATCCAATATTTGTCACAGAAACTCCTATAGTCTGATCCAACTAGAATGCCCAATTTTCTACTGCTGTCATGGAGAAGCTGGTTTTATAATCTTTCCACATACCTGACCCTTCATCAGTAATCAATCGTCACCATATTGGTCTTGTATGCATAATGTGGTCACTTAGTAGGGTAAATTACCAATAGGTCCTACTTTTGGGACTTATTACCTATTAAGTCCTATTGATAAATTTATCAAGTGATAAAATTATTAGTCTCTCTTGTTTTTACGAATAAATTTACACTCAGGACCTATAGGTAAATAAGTCTAGTTAATATGACTAATTGGTAAGTGTCACAACTTAGTAAGGGCCCTGTCGTGGTTATTGCTTGGAAAACAAAACAGAATGTTGTTTATTCAAACCTATAGCTTTTGCTAAATTTCAAGTAATGGGTCCATCCTGTGTTCGCTGCACTCATCCTTTTTGGGTGATCCTCAGAGGCATAAGCTAGGTAGCAAAGACTTAAACAGGGATGAAGGCTTTACTTGGTTCACTGATATATGAGCCCTTAACTTGTTGAGGATTGTTGAGGATGCAAAAAGGGTGTTTTATCCTAGATTTGTGTACTAAACTATGTTATTAGAGTTCTACTTACACGACAATGTTATCTCCTTGCACTAAGTTTTCTAAAATTCCACTCTTCCAAAATTAAAAAAATTATTATTTTATCTCATTACGCCCTCCATAATCCCATATATATATATATATATATACTAGAGGTTGTGCACACCCGCATGGATGTGCTTAAAATTTTCGTTGTGGGTTGAAATTGGCTATTATAGATTGAATAGGTAGTTATAGAAAACTTGTGCTTCAATTCTTAGTTACAGAAAGGTAATTTGGGAATAAAATAGTTTGATGCAAAAGTGTCAATGCCAAGTTAGTCCTTTACATATATAATGGAATAGATAGATAAATCCATTGCTAACCTTTTATTTTGCTTTAGTATTAAAAATTGTTTATTTAACGTTTAATTAGTTTTACAATTGATTGAAATCTATGTGAAAGTGGTTTGATATATAATCCATCAAAATTTTAACTCCAAGGGGTTGGCTTGGTGGCAAGGCCTTAGGTCTTGCGGGTGTGCTCCCTCTAAGGTTTGAGGATCGGAACCTCTTAGGTACTAACAATTCCTTGGGGCTATTGGATTGGGAAAAAACCCTTGAATTAACTGCAGTGCACTTGCAGGAAACTCCTTGCCGAGGGCTTGTGCATCCCTGGGAATTAGTCAGACTTTGATCCGGACATCCTGATGCCAATAAAAAAGAAAAGAAAAGAAAGTATAATCCATCAAAATTTTTGGCCGGCCACCACTTTTTAGGGTCCTCCCATGTGTGTACAACACAACCCTATGGTTCAAAATTCAAGAAAAAGGGCCTAGGCTGTTCAACATTAGCCCGGAAGGAGGGGGTCAAAAGGGTCAAGTTGAAATAGTGGCCGGCCACCACTTTTTAGGGTCCTCCCATGTGTGTACAACACAACCCTATGGTTCAAAATTCAAGAAAAAGGGCCTAGGCTGTTCAACATTAGCCCGGAAGGAGGGGGTCAAAAGGGTCAAGTTGAAATAGTGGCCGGCCACCACTTTTTAGGGTCCTCCCATGTGTGTACAACACAACCCTATGGTTCAAAATTCAAGAAAAAGGGCCTAGGCTGTTCAACATTAGCCCGGAAGGAGGGGGTCAAAAGGGTCAAGTTGAAATAGTGGCCGGCCACCACTTTTTAGGGTCCTCCCATGTGTGTACAACACAACCCTATGGTTCAAAATTCAAGAAAAAGGGCCTAGGCTGTTCAACATTAGCCCGGAAGGAGGGGGTCAAAAGGGTCAAGTTGAAATAGTGGCCGGCCACCACTTTTTAGGGTCCTCCCATGTGTGTACAACACAACCCTATGGTTCAAAATTCAAGAAAAAGGGCCTAGGCTGTTCAACATTAGCCCGGAAGGAGGGGGTCAAAAGGGTCAAGTTGAAATAGTGGCCGGCCACCACTTTTTAGGGTCCTCCCATGTGTGTACAACACAACCCTATGGTTCAAAATTCAAGAAAAAGGGCCTAGGCTGTTCAACATTAGCCCGGAAGGAGGGGGTCAAAAGGGTCAAGTTGAAATAGTGGCCGGCCACCACTTTTTAGGGTCCTCCCATGTGTGTACAACACAACCCTATGGTTCAAAATTCAAGAAAAAGGGCCTAGGCTGTTCAACATTAGCCCGGAAGGAGGGGGTCAAAAGGGTCAAGTTGAAATAGTGGCCGGCCACCACTTTTTAGGGTCCTCCCATGTGTGTACAACACAACCCTATGGTTCAAAATTCAAGAAAAAGGGCCTAGGCTGTTCAACATTAGCCCGGAAGGAGGGGGTCAAAAGGGTCAAGTTGAAATAGTGGCCGGCCACCACTTTTTAGGGTCCTCCCATGTGTGTACAACACAACCCTATGGTTCAAAATTCAAGAAAAAGGGCCTAGGCTGTTCAACATTAGCCCGGAAGGAGGGGGTCAAAAGGGTCAAGTTGAAATAGTGGCCGGCCACCACTTTTTAGGGTCCTCCCATGTGTGTACAACACAACCCTATGGTTCAAAATTCAAGAAAAAGGGCCTAGGCTGTTCAACATTAGCCCGGAAGGAGGGGGTCAAAAGGGTCAAGTTGAAATAGTGGCCGGCCACCACTTTTTAGGGTCCTCCCATGTGTGTACAACACAACCCTATGGTTCAAAATTCAAGAAAAAGGGCCTAGGCTGTTCAACATTAGCCCGGAAGGAGGGGGTCAAAAGGGTCAAGTTGAAATAGTGGCCGGCCACCACTTTTTAGGGTCCTCCCATGTGTGTACAACACAACCCTATGGTTCAAAATTCAAGAAAAAGGGCCTAGGCTGTTCAACATTAGCCCGGAAGGAGGGGGTCAAAAGGGTCAAGTTGAAATAGTGGCCGGCCACCACTTTTTAGGGTCCTCCCATGTGTGTACAACACAACCCTATGGTTCAAAATTCAAGAAAAAGGGCCTAGGCTGTTCAACATTAGCCCGGAAGGAGGGGGTCAAAAGGGTCAAGTTGAAATAGTGGCCGGCCACCACTTTTTAGGGTCCTCCCATGTGTGTACAACACAACCCTATGGTTCAAAATTCAAGAAAAAGGGCCTAGGCTGTTCAACATTAGCCCGGAAGGAGGGGGTCAAAAGGGTCAAGTTGAAATAGTGGCCGGCCACCACTTTTTAGGGTCCTCCCATGTGTGTACAACACAACCCTATGGTTCAAAATTCAAGAAAAAGGGCCTAGGCTGTTCAACATTAGCCCGGAAGGAGGGGGTCAAAAGGGTCAAGTTGAAATAGTGGCCGGCCACCACTTTTTAGGGTCCTCCCATGTGTGTACAACACAACCCTATGGTTCAAAATTCAAGAAAAAGGGCCTAGGCTGTTCAACATTAGCCCGGAAGGAGGGGGTCAAAAGGGTCAAGTTGAAATAGTGGCCGGCCACCACTTTTTAGGGTCCTCCCATGTGTGTACAACACAACCCTATGGTTCAAAATTCAAGAAAAAGGGCCTAGGCTGTTCAACATTAGCCCGGAAGGAGGGGGTCAAAAGGGTCAAGTTGAAATAGTGGCCGGCCACCACTTTTTAGGGTCCTCCCATGTGTGTACAACACAACCCTATGGTTCAAAATTCAAGAAAAAGGGCCTAGGCTGTTCAACATTAGCCCGGAAGGAGGGGGTCAAAAGGGTCAAGTTGAAATAGTGGCCGGCCACCACTTTTTAGGGTCCTCCCATGTGTGTACAACACAACCCTATGGTTCAAAATTCAAGAAAAAGGGCCTAGGCTGTTCAACATTAGCCCGGAAGGAGGGGGTCAAAAGGGTCAAGTTGAAATAGTGGCCGGCCACCACTTTTTAGGGTCCTCCCATGTGTGTACAACACAACCCTATGGTTCAAAATTCAAGAAAAAGGGCCTAGGCTGTTCAACATTAGCCCGGAAGGAGGGGGTCAAAAGGGTCAAGTTGAAATAGTGGCCGGCCACCACTTTTTAGGGTCCTCCCATGTGTGTACAACACAACC